GGCCTCGCCCGTGGGTTCCTGGCCTTGAGAGAAGAGGTGTGGGTTGGGGTGACCAGCATCAGAGGGACTCCGCTGGGAGTGTAGATACAGGCTGTTTGATTTGATGACCCTCTTTAAAAATTCATGCCCCCAAGTCTGATCTTGTGGATTCTGTTGAAAAAGACAGGCAATCTCATAGTTTCTGGGCCTGCATTTGTGTGATTATATAGGTTTCACATTTAGGGGGCACTGGCATGTCTCATTTCGTTACCCCTTGTTCCTTTATGTGATTATTCTAAGCCGTTTAGTGCTTAAAAACCCCAGGCTTCCATCAGGCATTTAGTGCCGTGGCTTTTGGCAAGTTACCCAACCTCTCTGAACCTCAGTGTACTCCTCTGGAAAATTGGGTAGTTGAAAAGATTAAATTAGTTGATTCCTCAAGGTGCTCAGAGCAGTACCTGGCCTGTCACACACTTTTAGCTCCTGTTATTTCATCTCTGTGCTTGGCTTCCTGGTTTTGAGATTCTGTTGGGAGCCTGGGCTCTTGGTTCAGGCAAGTTGGGATTGGGTAGCTTTGCTGCTTGCTGAATAACCCATGGTGGGCAACTTCATGTCTCTGGACCTCAGTTTATTCATGTGTAAAATGGGCATGATAACAATAGTCATTCCACGGTAGGACTTTGATTTGGGGATCAAAGAGATGTTGTGTGTAGTATTTGTGCCCCAGAATAGGCACTCCTATCATGAAAACTTGAATCATTGTTAGTATTATCTGATTTATTTTAGGATGGTCTAATCTGATTTATTTTAGGATGGTCTAGTCTATGCAGTTGAGTTCTCCCACCGCTCTGGCCGTGACCTCATTAACTTGGCCAAGAAGAGGACCAACATCATCCCTGTGATTGAGGATGCTCGGCACCCGCACAAATACCGCATGCTTATCGGTGAGGGGTCTGGGGGTGGCCCAGGTGGGGTAGGACAGACCACTCTGGGTTTCCTGGAAGGGCCAGCAGAGCCCTGATTCGGATGGAATTGGAGTGGATGAGCAGGCCTCTTGAGTCTGCAGAGATGGAAAGGGGGCAAGGGGAGCCAGGTGAGGTTGTGGAGGCGGCGACTCAGTTTCAGGGTCTCAGATGTCTGGCTCCCTTGGAGGGCCAACCTCCTTCCCTCCATTCTCTGCCCCCCTCTCCTTAGGTCCCTTGTACTTCTGCCCTCCTCCAAAGCATGGTACTTGTTACACTGCCCCTGGCTTGTGTATAAAAGCCTCCTTCAAGAATCCTTATCATCCTGCGGTGAGATCATAGCCCAGAACATTAACTGAGCATGGCTTGGCCCAGAGGGGTCCTTTGTAAAATGACTTTATTTATTAAAATTCAAAAATGCAATACAAAAAATGGAGAAAGCCTTATAAATCAACCCCAGAGGTAATTGCTAAGAACAATTTGATGCCTGCTTTTCCCAATTATTAAAGAATTAGTTTTCATTACATCACCTTTTTTTTTTAATTACACTGCCTTAGAAATACTACCTCTCATTCTGCTCATTTTTCTTTCTGTGAGATTTTTTTTTTCCCATTCATTCATACCATCAGCCTTGTCCTGCAGCTTTCATTTGACAATCCTGCCAATGCTCTTGCCTATAAGTGCTCACTTTTACTTGTCTTTTTGATGACGTGTCTGTCTCCCCCCCAGACCCGGGAGCGTCTCGAGGGCAGGGTCCGGGTCTGACTCGTCTCTATGTCCCCTACGCCCGGCCCAGGGCTGGCCACAGAGTAGGTGGCAACCATGGTTTATAAGAGGAGTGAATGAATGATGTGACTGTGGGTTTTGGACCCATCTTGGGGGCACTATGGAGGGAGGGGGTACAGTGGGAGGAAGTGAGACTGGAGGCAGGGAGACTGTCCAGGAGGAACCTGCTGGTGATGGGGTACAGGCCCCAGGGGAGGATCTGGGAAGGTCTCTGGCGGATTGACGTTTAACTGCCGCCCCTTTCTTCTAGCAATGGTGGATGTGATCTTTGCGGACGTGGCCCAGCCAGACCAGACCCGGATCGTAGCCCTGAATGCCCACACCTTCCTGCGTAATGGAGGACACTTTGTGATTTCCATTAAGGTACGGGACTTGCAGGAGTCTAAGATGAGGTGGCAGTGTTCCAAGGAGGTATCTTCTTTATCCGTGTCTGTTAAGCAGCTGATCAAAATAGGGGGTCTGGGCATGGTGGCACATGCCTGTAGTCCCAGCTACTCGGGAGGCTGAGGCAGAAGGATCGCTTGAGCCCAGGAGTTTGAGGTTGCTGCGAGCTAGGCTGACGCCACGGCACTCACTCTAGCCTGGGCAACAAAGTGAGGCTCTGTCTCAAAAAAGAAAAAAATAAGGGGCCTTCATACCCCCTAATCTAATCAGTCAACTCCCAGCCTTTATTCCCACCCAGCTCCCTACAAGCTGTCCCCCGTCCCTCAATCAAATAGCACATGATAAAACATGTCTGTGAAACTAAAAGCTTTGGATTTAAAGAGGCAAGAGAGTGTAGTGGTCAAGTGCATGATTGTTGAGTCTAATGGTCTTGAGTTTGAATTCCAACTTGTTCTGTGACTTTGGGCAAGTCAGTTAACCTGTGTGCTTTAGTTTCTTCACTTATAAAATGGAAATTTTAGACCAGTCTCTTTTAGGGATGATGTAAGGATTAAATTAATCAGTATATGTAAAGTGTTTTGAACAGATCCTGGCATAGAATAAATACTAGATAAATGCTAGGTGCATCTTTCAAAATGTTTTGTTTTGACATACAAAGAAATCTTCTGCGTAGCCTTCACCAGGTCCATCATTTGTTAGCCTTTTCCTACATTTGTTTATTATTCTCAGCTGCATTATTACCATTATTAAAGAAGAAGGAGAAAAAAGCAAATAATTCCTGGGTATAAAATGTAAACACTAGTTTTGAGATAAATAGGACTCTGTTTTACAGCTTCCTGCTCCAAACCAAATTAAAAACTTTCACCACATTTCCAAAACCTGAGTGTCCTTAGTCTGTTTTATGCTGCTATGACAGAATACCACTGACTGGATACTTGTAATAAATCTGTTTGAGGCCGGGCGCTGTGGCTCACGCCTGTAATCCTAGCTCTTGGGAGGCCGAGGCGGGCGGATTGCTCAAGGTCAGGAGTTCAAAACCAGCCTGAGCAAGAGCGAGACCCCGTCTCTACTATAAATAGAAAGAAATTAATTGGCCAACTAATATATATATAAAAAAAAATTAGCCGGGCATGGTGGCGCATGCCTGTAGTCCCAGCTACCCGGGAGGCTGAGGCAGAAGGATCACTCGAGCCCAGGAGTTTGAGGTTGCTGTGAGCTAGGACGCCATGGCACTCACTCTAGCCTGGGCAACAAAGTGAGACTCTGTCTCAAAAAAAAAAAATCTGTTTGGCTCACAGTTCTGAAAGCTGGGAAGTCCAAGATCAAGAGTCCACATCTGGTGAGGGCCTTCTTCACTACATCATCCTGTGGCAGAAGGGGCAAGGGCAAGAGGGCACCTGTAGGAGAGAGCAAGGGCAAGAAAGAGGGCATTATTAATCCTTTTTATTGGGCACGTACTCCCATGGTAATGGCATTAATCTATGACATAATCACCTCTTAAAGATCCCACATATCAACATTTTTTCATTGAGGATTAAGTTTATAATACATGAACTTTGAGGGGCACATTCAAAACCATAGCACTGAATTTCACTTGCGTTTCCAATGAAAATGTACTTCTGGTTTAAAGAGCATAAAAAAGGGAAATCAGCCCAAAGCCCTACCAGAGACTTCAAATCCTTTCTCCTCTGTAGGCCAACTGCATTGACTCCACAGCCTCAGCTGAGGCAGTGTTTGCTTCAGAAGTGAAAAAGATGCAGCAGGAGAACATGAAGCCCCAGGAGCAGCTGACCCTAGAGCCATATGAAAGAGACCATGCTGTGGTCGTGGGTGTGTACAGGTGAGCAGGGGGACCAGTAAGCCATCAAGATAAAGATCTCTGTCCCTTGCACCCAGAGTGCCACAGTCCTGGGGACCCCCGTAATTCATATATTCCTCTCACAGGCCACCCCCCAAGGTGAAGAACTGAAGGCCAGTGCTGTCTGGATTTCGAGAGATGTGTGTTGATACTGTTACACGTGTGTTTTTCTATTAAAAGACTCATCCAGTCTTCCCTGTGTGCTGCTGATTGCTCTTTGACCGCTCTTGACAACAGCGCGGGCGCCCTTGGTCTACATTTAGAGGCGGTGGGGGTGGTCTTATCCGGTCATACAGCGCATGCTCCATGCCTAGCTGCCTCTTGCGCAGCCGCAACCAGGATTCCGGCGCTTGGGAGGGATTGGTAGCCCACTGCGCATGTATGCCGGTAAGCCGCCTCAGCGCGCAGGCGCGGAATCTTACCCTGGGCCACGTGAGGGGAGGGGGTGGGAGGGGTGGGGGGCGGAGCCGGGGGGGGGCCGGTTTGTTGTGGTCGCCATTTTGCTGGTTGCATTACTGGGTAATCGGGGCCCTGGCTTGCCGTGTCCGCCGGATACTCTCAGCCAGTGGGCAGGTCTGAGCTCGGGCTCCCCGAGCAGTTTGAGTGCCCTTGCCCGCGCCCTCAGGTAACAACGCGGGGACGGGCGGGCCGGCACGCGCTCGCTGGGCTGGGGGCAGGACGGGATCCGCCCTGCCCGCGTCGCCACGAGACTTAGCACAGCCGAAGGAAGAGAGGAGGGGGGCGGTGGGCAGGTGCGGCCGTGCCTGGCTATTCATAGTCGGATTCCTGGAAGGGGCCGAGCCCGAGGGAGCCGTCTTTGGAGAGAGGCTGGGAGGGGGTAGCCGGGCCCCACTCCCGCCCTTTGTTTGGGCTCGGCTCCGCCGGCCGCATCGTCGTCGCTTAGCAACAGCTGCCCTAGGCTGTGATTGGTTGAGCTCTTGGCAGCAGCAACCAATGGCACGGTTGTTGCCATGGCAGGTGCGGATTGCCAAACTCAGTCGGGCCCCGCCTGCCCGGTGTCCGCCTGCCCGGGCGGGCCTCCTGGGTGGGGGGGCGGGACGCCGGGGTCCCCAGGGGCGGGTGGCCGCGCTAGGCGGGGCCGGTGGGGCGAGGGTTAACCCGCCCCTCCCCCGTCCACCTGCTCTCCCCTTCCCCCCGCGTGCCCTGGGCTGACCCTCGTCCCCTCCTCTCCCCGTCCCTCCTCTCCCCGCCTCCGGCGGCTGCTGTTGTCACCCACCGGGCGGCCTGTCCCGTTTGCCTTCCCCCGCCGCGGGGCTTGCCGGGCCGGCAGGGCCAGGGACTGGCGGCCGCTTCCCCAGCGCTGCCACCGCCGCCATGCTGGCTGCTCGCCCACCCCACTGGGGGCCCCACCGCGCCCCAGCCCCCCGTGGGCTCCGCGCCAGCCCTGACCCGGGTATGGGGTGGGAGCTGGGAAAGACGTCCTGGTGTGGGAGGGCCCCGGGAAAGAGGTTGATTCGAGGGGAAGCTCCAAGAGTGGAGAGGTCCTGGAGTGGCACGGCATGGGATAGGAGAAAGAGATCTGACATGGGGGAAGGCCTGTGGGGAGAGGATTTTGTTGTGCCGGACACTGGGCAGAGACAACTCTGTGATATCTGGGGATTTGGCTGTGGGGGCCTTCTAGGAACGGGCACGGTTGTGGAATGACCCTAGTGTAGAGGTGTGACTGGAGAAGGGGCTCCGGTAGGAATACTGGGGAGTGTGTGTAGGGGAGCAAAGATGTGTTGTAGGAGAGAAAAAGGACGATCTCTTTAAACTGGGGGAAGAGGCACCTCTCCCTTGCTCCCCTCCGGAGGAGTGGGCCTTGATTGGGAGGAGGTCTTGAAGTTATTATAGCAAGAAGAGCCCTGATGTGACTGGGGTGGGGGGAAAGCTGGAAGATGGTATTGGGAGACTACCTGGAAGTGGGGGAACCTGATATAGGGAGGAGGTCTTGGCATGATAATGGAGAGAGTCCTCTGGGAAGGGTGTGACCTGGTGGGTGAGAATGCCATAGAGATAGGACTCTGTTGTATAAGGTTTCTCAGATAATCATGGTGTGGTCAAGAGGTTCCTGAGGACTATGATGTGGTTTTAGGGGCCTGCAGAGGACTCTGCTGTGGTTTGGGGGGAGTCCCAGAGGACTCATGTGGTTTGAGGGACCCTAGAGGTCTCTGGATTGGGGGGATCTACTGGGAAGGGTAGATCTTGAAGTGGAGGGACCTTGCTGTGGTGTGGGCTGAGATTCCAGTGTTCTGAGAAGGCTACAGAAGGATGAGATCTTGAGTGAGGGACCCGGGGTGGGGGTGGGGGGGCACAAATAGAAATGAGAGAAAAAGAATGAATCCTTCTCTGTATACCATCTGTGGTTTCTGTCTTCTTCTCTTTTCCTTCCCCCGATTATTGGTGTCTTTCTGTTCTTTCCTGTCATGTCCGATATCAACCCTCCCAACCCCCACCTGGACCCCAATCATTCCCTTTTACATGTTTTCTTTGTGCTGCCTCATTCATTTGTTTGATCATCATTTGTTGAGGGACTCTGCTGTGTCACCCCCCCACCCCTGTACCACTTCTGTCTGCCCCCTGTCTTCATCGCTACCTGTTGCTGTGTTGCACCCTTTTTCTCCTCCCTCTGTGCCCTGCCTTCTTTCTCATGCCCACCTCTTCCCTGCCTGCCACTGTCCCACATATCCCCTTGTTCCATGTTGTTTCCTTGCCTCCCGCCTGCTCTCAGGTCTCAGCGGCGGTGGCAGCCGAGGTGCAGGATGCGAGAAGGCGCCCCCCGGCCGGGCTCCCGCTCCAGGCCTCACTCCCCTGTGGCCCTCTGAGCCCACCATGGCCGTCCCACCGGGCCATGGTCCCTTCTCTGGCTTCCCAGGGCCCCAAGAGCACACGCAGGTATGCGTCCAGCTAGCTTCTCACCTAGGGGTAAGGGGAGGCTGGGGATAAAAGAGTCTCAGGACCAAAAGATAGTATGGTTGCCCTGGGTAGTCTTCTGGGGTCATGGTGGGCCCCATGGGCATGGAAGATAATAGAGGAGTTGCAGGCAGAGTCAAGGTTTGGAAAGCCTGGGTTTAAATCCTGACATGGTAGTTAAATGACTTTGTTTCTCTATATTTCAGTTTTCTGTTCTATAAAATGGAGCCAGTAATGATGCCTACCTCACAGGGTTGTTGTGAGAGTTAAATGAGTTAATGAACTGCATGTAAAATGCTGAGAACAGTACCTAGTACACAGTAAATACCCCATAGATGTTCACTAAGAAAAAGACGTCCAGAGTGAAAGATCTGGAGGGGGTGAGTGGGCAAGAGGGTTGACCCTAAAGGGTCTTGGGGCCAACCTGGTACTGGGGAAAGCTCTCCAGGATAGAAGCACTAAGATTCTGAAATGTAGAGCTTCAAGCATGGTAGAGTGGCAGGTCCAGGGTGCTGGATCCAGATCCAAGAGCTTTGGGGTAAAAGAACTGAGCAGAGATCCTCAGAGTTGGGGGTTAGGGTTGGGAAGGCCCCAAAGAATGGGGGTAAATTGAGTTGGGGGGACTTCAGAGGTGGGATACCCAGAACAGATGGTCCCAAGCTGAAGGATTGGGAGGGACAGAGCCCAGGTTTTTCACATGATCTCTGTCACTGAGGTTCACAAAGGAGGAAACTTGTGGAGTGAAAAAGCTGACTAAGGGTCTGGGTGAAAGGTCAGGGATATATAGTTCACTCATTCACATGACAAATCTCTGATGAATATCCATTATGTGTCAGCCTCTGCTCAAAGCACTAGAGATACAGCAAGAACATTACAAAGTCTCTGCCCTTGGGGAGTTTATATTCTAGTGGGGGAGTCAGACAGTGACCAAATAAATATGTGTGTGGTAATGACGCAGCCCATAGAGTTCTCCTTCTTGAGGTTGGGGGTGAAGACCTGTGTCAGTGCCCACCTCTCACCCTGCCCCGCAGGTATTGCCTGATGTGCGGCTACTGCCACGGAGGCTGCCCTTGGCCTTCCGGGATGCAACCTCAGCCCCGCTGCGCAAGCTCTCTGTGGACCTCATCAAGACCTACAAGCACATCAATGAGGTGGGCAGGGGTAGGGGCTCCCAGGCTAGGTGCTGAGAGGCCTTGGCTGCTGCCGTGGGCCACTCACCAGTCCTCATCTGGCCTGCTGGGCAGGTATACTATGCGAAGAAGAAGCGGCGGGCCCAGCAGGCGCCACCCCAGGACTCGAGCACCAAGAAGGAGAAGAAGGTCCTGAACCATGGTTATGACGACGACAACCATGACTACATCGTGCGCAGTGGCGAGCGCTGGCTAGAGCGCTATGAGATTGACTCGCTCATTGGCAAAGGCTCCTTCGGCCAGGTGTGGGATACCCTCCCCACCCTGATCCAGGGATTAGGGGCGCAGGCACCCACTAACATTGACCCATGCACCCAGTGTTTCAGAGGCTTCAAGTCCTGTGCTGGGCCACTCACCCCAGCCCACTCACTCAGTTTCCTTATGCCTCAGTCTATTTCTGTAAAATAGTTCAAATAACAAGACTCTCCACGTAAGGCAGTTGTGTTATTTTGTGTCCAGTGTTTACACCAGTGCCTGACTGATAGTGAGCACTCAACTATGAATTATTATTAGTAGTAATAGTGTTATTGGTGGGTCTCCTTTGCTGGAGGGAGAAGAATGGTGCCTGGCTCTGTCCTGCCTCTCTCCCCTGCTCCCCTGCCCCCCCGCCCACTTTGTGATGTGCCCTGCCTGGACAGGTGGTGAAAGCCTATGACCATCAGACCCAGGAGCTGGTGGCCATCAAGATCATCAAGAACAAAAAGGCCTTCCTGAACCAGGCCCAGATTGAGCTGCGGCTGCTGGAGCTGATGAACCAGCATGACACAGAGATGAAGTACTACATAGGTGAGGCCTGGGCCTGCAGGGCTGTGGGGGCCTGGAATAGCAAGAGCTGGAGCTGGCGGGGATGGGTCGCCCTCCCCTCAGCCCTCCAACCCCCAACACACATGAAGGGGCTGGTGACCGGTTGGTGACCGGTCTGTGACTCTCCTGCTGCTTTCATGATGTTTCCCCGTCCACTTGATAATGATGGTCAGAGTTCACTGAGTGCTCACTAAAGGGCCAGGCTCTGTTGTAAGTACTTTACATAAATTAACCCACCACAGCCCCGTGAGGTCAGGGGCATTATCGTCCACATCTTGCAGATAAGAAACCTAGGCATTCAGGTGCTGTCACTTGCATGAGGTGACAGAGTTTGTAATTTGACAAAGCCATGCCCTCCAGAGCCTTTGCTCTTAACATCTATGCCAGTTTTTTTCTCTCTTATGCTGATTCCTCTTAGAAAAAGCAAGCGGATTTCAAAACTCTGTTTCTTTTAAAAGGAAAATTTACATCCCTATCGTAAATGGAAATCCAGTATCCCTTGCCACAAAAATAAATATAACTGACGTGAAAACAGTGTTATAAAAGTAAATTAAGGACGTGTAGAATGTGTTAAAGACATACCAGCATCTAATGGAAACTCTGATTTAATCAGAGACTTGAAAAGAAAATTAGCTTCCTGTGTGAATCAAGTTATATACACCGTGTAAAAACACTGCTCATGGGCACACCATGGAGGCACTTTCTACTTTGTGACCCGAGGCCACCGTCAGCCCTCTCCGCGTCTCCGTTTCTTCTCCATTGGCCCATTTCTGTCCTCTGCCCAACAGTGCACCTGAAGCGGCACTTCATGTTCCGGAACCACCTGTGCCTGGTGTTCGAGCTGCTGTCCTACAACCTGTACGACCTCCTGCGCAACACACACTTCCGCGGCGTCTCGCTGAACCTGACCCGGAAGCTGGCGCAGCAGCTCTGCACCGCACTTCTCTTCCTGGCCACGCCCGAGCTCAGCATCATCCATTGCGACCTCAAGCCTGAGAACATCCTGCTCTGCAACCCCAAGCGCAGCGCCATCAAGATCGTGGACTTTGGCAGCTCCTGCCAGCTTGGCCAGCGGGTGCGGCTTGGGGGTGGGGAGCCAGCACTAGCGGTGTGGGTGTGACCAGGGTGGGGGCGGGGCCAAGCGGTGGCGGAGAGGCGGGGCTTGACTGTAGTGGGATTATCCCGAGCAACCCGAGTGGTGCTTGGGATCGGGGTGTCGGCTGGGTTGGCCCTGGAGGGTGGGGCCAGTGGGTGACAGAGAGGCGAGGGTAGAGGAGGGGCCCACAGGGCATACTGCCCACTAGAAAGGGGAGGGGTGCAGCCTGAGGGGTTGGGGCAAGTTTTGAAGTTGCCAGATGTGGGCAGGGTGAAGTTGGGCTGGGTTTGAGCCTGGAGTGCTGCTTCACTAAGTTTTGTTTACCCTGTGCTCTTCAAGCTGGGGATGGAGGTGGGGGCCTCAGCTTTGCTGTTTCTATGAGCTGGCACGTAAAGTGATTATGGCATAGAGGCTTGTAGGCGGCAGACGTCTGCTCGGAGACAGGAGGGGCCCGGCGTCAGTGCTGGGGGTGGAGACACCAGGGTCAGAATAGGCCAGCAGACTCCTGGGCAGATGAACGAGGTGGTAGCAGTGGCTCCTGGGAAAGTGGTGCTAATCACGGCAGGATTTGGGGAGCCTCTGTCCCCAGTTTGGGAGCAGAAGGCTTGTCCTCAGTGAGGTCCTCTTAGCTTTGGGGGTGTCCAGTAGGGGAGGCTGAGATCCCTGGTTATTACCGTCCCTGCAGATCTACCAGTATATCCAGAGCCGCTTCTACCGCTCGCCCGAGGTGCTCCTGGGCACACCCTATGACCTAGCCATTGACATGTGGTCCCTGGGCTGCATCCTTGTGGAGATGCACACCGGAGAGCCTCTCTTCAGTGGCTCCAATGAGGTAGCTCCCCAGGACGGGCTGAGGTGGAGGGGGCGGAGCCTGGCCGGCGGTCACCTGACCACTGCCTGCTTGCAGGTGGACCAGATGAACCGCATCGTGGAGGTGCTGGGCATCCCACCGGCCCCCATGCTGGACCAGGCACCTAAGGCTCGCAAGTACTTTGAACGGCTGCCTGGGGGTGGCTGGACCCTACGAAGGACAAAGGAACTCAGGAAGGTGCGGCCCCTGCCCCACGCCACTCCTCCCATCCCTGGTGGCCCCTCACTCTCTCACACTTGGGGCTCCCCCTCTCCCTGCTGCTTCTCCCTGCGTCTTTCCCATCCTTCCTCTCCCCCTTGTTTGTGCTTTCCTTCCTCCCCTGCCCCTCCCCATCTCTCCTTCCCACCCAAGTCTTCTTAGCTTCTCTCCTTCTACTCTCTATCCTGTGCCTCTGTTTCCCCGTGTGTGTCTCCCTGCCCCTCCTGCCCACTGACGGCCACTCTCTTGCCCCCCCTCCCACCCCCTCCCTGCCAGGATTACCAGGGCCCCGGGACACGGCGGCTGCAGGAGGTGCTGGGCGTGCAGACGGGCGGGCCCGGGGGCCGGCGGGCGGGGGAGCCGGGCCACAGCCCCGCCGACTACCTCCGCTTCCAGGACCTGGTGCTGCGCATGCTGGAATATGAGCCCGCCGCCCGCATCAGCCCGCTGGGGGCTCTGCAGCACGGCTTCTTCCGCCGCACGGCCGACGAGGCCACCAACACGGGCCCGGCAGGCAGCAGTGCCTCCACCTCGCCCGCGCCCCTCGACACCTGCCCCTCCTCCAGCACCGCCAGCTCCATCTCCAGCTCTGGTGGGTGCCCAGTGCCCCATTGGGGTCCAACAGGGGTGGGGGCTGCTCTGGTTTGGCCTTGCCTGAGAACCTTGTCACTGGGCCTTTACACTAGAGCTTTGAACTGCCTGATCCTGAACGCCAAAATGGGGCGGAATGGGACTGACAGGGGATGACTGTCCCTCACATTATCTCTCAAACAGCTTGGGCTCAGACCCCTGAAACCTGTTTGGACTGTAACACACAGAACTGAACTTTGACCCCAAATCTCAAAATTGGGTCTGATCCTTCAAATGGGCTCTGATCTCAAAGCCCAAACCTGGGCCTGGGGCATGAACTTGAGTCGGCCACTCCAAAACCTAGCCACTGCCTCCGCTCATCTGTGGCCTCTTTCCCTCTCTTCCCTGGTGCTTTTAGGAGGCTCCAGTGGCTCCTCCAGTGACAACCGGACCTACCGCTACAGCAACCGATATTGTGGGGGCCCTGGACCCCCTATCACTGACTGTGAGATGAACAGCCCCCAGGTATTGGGGCTTTGGGGGCTTTGGAGGTGGGTGAGGGGTGCCTGGGGCTTCAGGACCTAGGTCTCCATCACCCACTGCTTCTTTGCTCCTTTAGGTCCCACCCTCCCAGCCGCTGCGCCCCTGGGCAGGAGGAGATGTGCCCCACAAGACACATCAAGCCCCTACCTCTGCCTCGTCACTGCCGGGGACTGGGGCACAGTTACCCCCCCAACCCCGATGCCTTGGCCGTCCCCCATCACCAACCTCACCACCACCCCCGGAGCTGATGGATGTGAGCCTGGTGGGCGGCCCTCCAGACTGCTCCCCACCTCACCCAGCGCCTGCCCCCCAGCACCCGGCTGCCTCAGCCCTCCGGACTCGGATGACAGGAGGTCGTCCACCTCTCCCTCCCCCTGATGACCCTGCCACTCTGGGGCCTCGCCTGGGCCTCCGTGGTGTACCCCAGAGCACGGCAGCCAGCTCATGACCCTGCCCCATCCCTGGGGCCCCTCCTGAAGCCATACCCCCCCCATCTGGGGGCCCTGGGCTCCCATCCTCATCTCTCCCCTTGACTGGAATTGCTGCTACCCAGCTGGGGTGGGTGAGGCCTGCACTGATTGGGGCCTGGGGCAGGGGGTCAAGGTGAGGGATTTGGCCGCACCCTCCCCACTAAAGACTGGACCCTTGGCCCCCTCTCCCCCCCCTTGTTTTCTATTTATTGTACCAAAGACAGTGGTGGTCCGGTGGAGGGGAGACCCCCCTCACCCCAGGGCCCTAGGAGGGGGTGGGGGCAGGTAGGGGGAGATGGCCTTGCTCCTCCTTGCTGTACCCCCCAGTAAAGAGCTTTCTCACATGCCCGCCTGAGCGTTTGCAGGGCCTCGGCTCCCCTCACCTGACCCTCAGAGGCATGGTGGGGAAGGGTGTTTGGGGAGGGGGTGCCAGAAGAGCTTTGTGTGTGCATCTGTCCCTTCTGGAGAAGTTGTGTCTTGGTGCAGGCGTGGGGCTCCTGGAGGTCTGAGGCTACAGAGTCCTAGACAAAGATCCTGGATAGCATCTTAGCCCATGTATCCCTTTTCCAGGGTAAACTGAGATCCTGAAAGTTAAAGGGCCAGTTCTGGCCTGTTTCTGGAAGCGTGTGCCCTAATAAGCCAGGGCTTCCCCAGAGTCTGCGCAGGACTGGCAGCTTATGCCATGCAGGCATCCAGTAGGGACGAAGTGCACTTAGCAGGCCTTATTGGTGCCATCTGAGGAATAGGGAGGCAGCAGGCACAGACTTTACCCCCACACATGTCCGGTCCCACCCTTTGGAATCATCGCGGAGCAAAGCGTTTTGAGATTCTGAGGCAAAAAGATATTCCGGGGGTTCCAGGTAAGTGGTCCTGTTTCCTTGGCAATTTGGAAATTTTTGTCTCCCTACCGGCCAATCAAGAACCGCCTGGTTCAAAAAGTCTCCCACTGCTGGGCGCAGCGCTTCCTGGGAAATGGAGTCTTTCTGGCAAGCTTGGTTTTTCGCCCTTCGTTGGGGAACTACAAAGACCAGAATCCTTTTCGCTCACAGGTCTTGGGGGCGGGTCTTCAGGTAGCCAGTCGGAGGTGAGAAATAGACAGGACCCGGATACTTGAGCCCGTCAGTATTGACAACGAGGGCCGTGATTGGGTGGTTTGGGCCGTACTGTGCGAGTGTTGAGTTGCGGGCCCAGGTGGGTTCCTGCGCAGTGCGGGGAGAACGCGCTGGCTAGGCGCTCTGAGTTCCAGGGCCGGCCGGAGGCGCTGAGGCCTTAAAGGGCCCCATCACACGGGATATCGCTGGCCGCTGCGTCTGGCCCGGCTCGCGGGAAGTTCCGGTCAGCAGGAAAGACAGGCAAGGAGCCCGTTAGGGACCTGTATATGATCGCTAATGGAGGCAGCGTGGAATGCGGTGGGACCCCAGAGGAGGCACAGGTGGGGAGACCTTCCTGGAAGACTAGCAGCTGCCTGAGCTGGGGCCGGAAGGTGGAAGGATGTTGGGAGCGGGGCGGGGGAATGGCTTGCGCAAAGGCAACGACGAGAAGCTGCCTGTTGTGTGAATACGAACTGCAGGTGATTTGGCATTGGTGGAGATCACATTGAAAATTCTGTGTGAAGGAGATCATGGAAGTATTTTTGGCTATTTAGCGAGCTTGGACTTTATTTTGAGGGCAGTGAAGATTTCCAGGAGGGAAGGAGCACGGCCCAGTCTGCTGTGATGTGGGAATAGATTGCCAGGAAAGAGACTGGGGTCTGGGAGCCCAGAGTGACAGCTGTGGCAGGTTCCTAGGCAAGAGATGTCGGGGATGGGTCAGGGCAGGAGCCATGATAGGGAAGGCAGGAGGGGAGGGGAGAAGAGACGTGCAGAAGGTTGAGTTGACAGGCTGTGTGGGAGCGGGAGGCAGAAAAGGGTGGGGAAGGGATATCTACAGCACATAGAGCTCAGTAAAAAATGTTTTGAATGAACAGTTCTAGGAAGTAGGTACTATTGTGATCTTTCTTTGGCAAATGAGGATACTGAAGACAGAGAAGGTTAAGTAACGTGCCCAAGATCACATAGCTGGGAAGTAGAGGGCTCAGGGTGTGTGTGTGTGTGTGTGTGTGTGTGTGTGTGTGTGTGTATGTATGTGTATGTATACCACACATACACAAGGTGCACGATGAACCTAGAGGCATAAGCAGGGGCCAGATCACATAGATCCTGTAAAGAATTTGGGATAGGCATGGAAAGTGTATACCACATTTCTACTTCCAGCCCAGAAACTCTCCTCTGAGCTACTGACTGACTGGCTGCCTGACTCCTCCTCTTGGTTATCTAGAGCTGAGGTCCCCAACCCCTTGGGGCCACCTCCCCCTCCCCGCCCCTGCCTCAGTCCATGGAAAACCACGAACTTAGGAACCGGCACTGGGCCGCTCAGTGGTGGGTGGGCGGCTGAGCAGGTGGGTGAGTGAGCAAGCGAGCAAAGCTTCATCTGTATTGACAGCTGCTTCCTGCTGCTCGCATCACCGCCGGAGCGCCGCCTCCTCCCACCCCCATCCGTGAGAAAATTGTCTTCCATGAAACCGGTCCCTGGTGCCAAAAAGGTTGGGGACTGCTGATCTAGAGGTATCTCCAGAGTAATCTTGGTCAAATTGAACTCCAGTTCTTTTCCCAAACCTATTCTCCCCCATGTTTATCTTAGTAAATGCCACCTCCATCCTTGTAATTGCTCAGGCCAAAAACACTGGAGTTGTCCTTGACTCCTCTCTTTGTCGTATACCCATGTCCATCAGCAAATATTAATACCTTCAGAGTATAACCAGAGCCTGACTGCTTTCCCCACCTGCACTGCTATCACCCTCATCTTCTGCCTGGAGCACTGTGGCAGACCACAGCCTCAGACCACAGACCACAGCAGCCACAGCCTCAATGGTCTTCCTGCTCCTGCCCCTGCCCCCCATAGTCTTCCTCATGCAGCCAGAGGGATGCTGGGCACCTGCATTGAGTCACATCCTTCCCCTGCTCAGAACCCATCTGTGGCTCCATCTCACTCAGGGTAATGGGGAGCCATGCATTACTCCTAACTTGAGAGAGAGGGAGATGGCTGATACAGCCTCCACCCTGAGCTCACAGTCTGGCGGGGGAACCAGCCCCTACAGCAGACACCCCTGGTCAGGGTGGGGATGGGGAGGCACAGGCAGAGGGGCCATGGGAGCCCAGGGGCAGCACCTGGCCCCATCTAAGCTGTCAGGAAGGACTTCCTGGAGCAGGGAGCCCTGCAGATGAGAGCTGAAAGAAGAGGCACACAAAGGTAGTTGGGAACTGGTGACGACTTGTAGTCAAGTCAGTAGAGACTTTAAAAAATTGTTTTGAACTTTTTTTTATTTAATAAGTTCATATTTTTTAGATTTAAAGAAAAGTTGCAGAGATAGTACAGAGACTTCCTATATACTTATGCCCACTTTTCCCTAATGTTAGCATCTTACGTAATTATGGTGCATTTGTCAAAACTACGAAATTAACATTGATTAGTATTCTGTTAAACTCCAGGCTTTATTTGTATTTCACCCGTGTTTCCACTCAATGTTCTTTTTCTGTTCCAGGATCCAATCCGGGATACCATGTTGCATTTATTCACCATATCTCCTTGGTCTCCTCGACTCTGTGACAGTTTCTCAGTCCTTGTTTTTCATGACCTTGACAGTTTTGAGGAGTACTGGTCAGGTATTTTGTAGAGCATCCCTCAGTCTGGGTTTGATACTTTTCTCATAGTTAGACTGAGATTTTAGGCTCTTGGGAAGATTACTCACTGAGGTGACCTTAACCTTGATCACTGCATTAAGGTGATATCTGCTGTGTATTTTAGTTATAATATTGTTTTCCCCTTTCTTTATCTGTTAGAAGCAAATCACTAAATCCCAGCCCACACTCAAAGGGAAGAGAATTAAGCTCCAGTTCCTGGAGAGAAAAATACCAAAGAATTTGTCGTCATATGTTAAAACTACCACAGTCATTTAAGAAATGTAGGGAAGATACTTTGAGGCTATGCATTTGTCGTGTTTCTCCTTAAATTTTTACCCACTAATTTGAACATTCATAGTGGATCTTGTTTATAGCAGTTATTACTGTGGTATTCTAATGATGATTTTCTATTTCTCTCATTTCTTCTATATTATTTAGAAATCTATATGGAAGATTTGTCCCTTCTACTTACTTCATTTATTTTTTATTTATATAATCATTATATCAATGTGGACTCAGGGATATTTATTCTATTCTTTGAGTATAACCCAATACAATTACCATTTTTGTTGCTCAAGTTGTTCCAGCCTTGGCCATCAGGGTTCTTTCCAGGGTGGCTCTTTTTTTTTTCCTTGAGTACCTTCTTACTTTCTGGCCCTGCAAGATATTCCAGGCCCATGTTATTTTTTTTTCCCTGCCCCATCCCTGGAATTGGCTATTTCTCCAGGGATCACTGGTTCCTTTTATTGGAGAATGAAGTATAAAAATAAACATGAGTTCATACCGATATCGCTGACTCTAATCCAGTACCAGAGTGTTCCATTCTCACCTCCCCCCTGCTTTCTTTGTAACTCCTTTCTCTGACAATGAAAAGCCTGGCTCAGTGGGCACTTTTTCGTGCTCATCTTATTGGTCATCTTGGCAAAAATTGGCAGCATTGACCGTTCCCACCTTCTTTTTTTTTTTTTTTTTTTTTTTTTTTTTTTTTTTCATTTTTAACCTTCTTTTTTTTTTTTTTTTTTTTTTTTTTTTTTTTTTTGAGACAGAGTCTCACTTTGTTGCCCGGGCTAGAGTGAGTGCCGTGGCGTCAGCCTAGCTCACAGCAACCTCAATCTCCTGGGCTCGAGTGATCCTTCTGCCTCAGCCTCCCGGGTAGCTGGGACTACAGGCATGCGCCACCATGCCCAGCTAATTTTTTATATATATATCAGTTGGCCAATTAATTCCTTTCTATTTATAGTAGAGACGGGGTCTTGCTCAGGCTGGTTTTGAACTCCTGACCTTGAGCAATCCGCCCGCCTCGGCCTCCCAAGAGCTAGGATTACAGGCGTGAGCCACAGCGCCCGGCCCGTTCCCACCTTCTTTAGCACAGTCTGTCCTTGGTTTCTGTGAGTTCGCTGTCCCCTGACATCTTTCCTGGGTTTTGCTTCCTCCGTTTTCACCGACCCCTTAAATGTGGGAGGCTCTGTTCTTTCCTCTCGCTTCTTTGGGCATCTAACACTCTTGTGTGGTCTGTTTCCTGTCTCTGTGCCTGTGATACCCACGCTCTGTCCTTAGCCCTGACCGCTTCTCTGAGCCCCAGACCTGGAGGATCCTGAGGCTTCCTGGACACTCACCCCACAACTGG